ACCTGTGCATCGTCGCTTATAGCTCCTCCAGCAAGCCTCCTCAATTCTCAGTCCTCAAGATGCTTTTTAGGAAATGAGATGTGCTTTGTTATGATGCACCAAGATCAATTTCTGAGTCACAAGTTACAGGATTGAGGAGTTAAGGAGGCTGAATTTGTGAAATGAGACAAGCTTACTAAAGTGTTCCTGTAGTGCCTGGTTCCAATGTTTTAGCTGCTGCTATCTTGATCTCACAATGGCTGTGTTCCAAATCGCGTACCTTTTCATTGTACTTTAAGTTCATACTGCAGCTGCCTTCACAAAGTGCATATTGTTAAAACAGTACGCATACAACAAGGACATACTACTTTGTCATAATAATCTACCGCAAACTTTGACCATTGCAGTCTGTAGTGCAAAATGAACTGTCATTTTTTTGTGCGCTTTTAGCCGCTCAAGTGTGTATACACATGCCCACAATGCCATGACGTATGTGACATAGCTGCGGAGAGGATTGTGGGTCAGAGTAGCCAGGACAGCATGCTGACTTGCATACTGCAAAATCTGACCGAGTGTCCAGATATTTTTGTTAGGATTAGGAATTTTATTGCAATTAAGATTACAACAGAAAAAGGGGGTCATAATGTTCAAACAATGCATTTTCACACAGTCCACACCACTGACAAGCTTAATGCTTGGTTATTAAAATTAAGATATAGGAAAAGGCTTGTAAAATCCAGAGAGTTAAGACTCAAGGTGCTGGTTAAATGTGCTGTCTCATTATAGGGTGTGTCTAGGCTCCATCCATAGCATGATGCACTGAACTCAGAGAACACTCCACTCACAGAAAAAAGTCATGCTGATAAAATTACTTTGGGTAAATCTGACATCAGAACGCCCAATTTGACTATTTTCAAGTAACTTTGTTCACAAGCCTGCGTTTCATTAGCACCCAATGTTCATTACCCTGATTCACACTCCCTCCCAGTAGGTGGCGGTGATGCACCAATTTGCTATTTGCCAACCGCTAATAAACCTCAAACAAGAAGACGAAGAAAACAGGAAGACTAAGCTGCATATTGGGTCGGATGTGACCTCAAAAGTTCATGTAGGTGAGCAGAAAGACAACAAGGATGCCCCGTTTCGCGTGCGTCGTAATAAGATGCTAATAACTTTGTGCTACGTCTACTTGTGGGTGCGCTTCCACAAGTGCTACTCGGCGCTTATTCGCAACGGTCTGTCCCGGCTGAACAGCAGCAGCTTCAGCTTCAGCGTCTGCTCCTGCTCGGCCTCGGAACCGGCCGCGACACCGCCGACTGGACGCCACGCAGCCGGACGTCGGCACCACAGCTTGCTTCCACTCGATGACAACGTCTTTCTCCAGCTGGGAAACAAGGCGGTCTATGTCACGGAGCCTCAGGTGGGGTACCGAGCCGACACCGTGGTTTAAACAACGCGATACCTCAGGTCGTATAGTGACACTCGGCGGCGGGGACCTTCCTTCCTGGGCCGCAGGGTCACTGGCTTGTTTACTCGTGTCAGTCACGTTCAAATGTTTTAAAGATTCTTACAGTTACAGAGCATACAAATGGCGTTATATAATATATGCAATTCATATTTGGCTCGCTAGAAAACAAGCTGTCACGTCCCCTAGCTTCAGTACGGGAGCTGTCCTCATCTGTGTTCATGCCAGAAGTCTGTCACTGGGTTTGTCTGTGAAGATTCTCAGTCATCCAGGTCATGGTTATTCTCGTAGTTTAATCATAACAACTGGACTTGCTTGAGTTTCTTGAAGACGTTTCACCTCTCATCCAACAGGCTTCATCAGTGCTGGTTGACTAGTTAGGAGTTCCAGATACTTATATCCTTAAGGAGTCATTAACACCTGAGTTTCCGTTTCCATTGGGTTGTGTGAGTCGTTAGTGCTTCCCCTGCTACAATGGGGTTCGTTAAGGTGTTTTACTCAAGCAAGTCCAGTTGCTACGATTAATCTACAAGAATGTCACTGTGTTTCTTCAGAGACTTCTCCTAATGTCTTTCGGCAAACAGCTTTTTGTTGCAATACCCGCTCACTTAAATGAATCTGATAAAATACTATTTATTTATTTTCAAACACAGCCTTATTCCCCATATGCACTTTTTCCAGTTGTTGCAATTCTACTGGTTTTACTTTTGGTTGTTTTAGTCGTTTCCCAGTATGCTTTAAGTCTCCTTCTTTCCAGTTGGTCCAGGACAATTAATACTTTGATGTTCTGCTGCTTCCTGTATCTCACAACACTCACTTATACCTGTTGCATGCTTGCCAGTTCACTTCAGTGCACTGTTGAGAACTGCATGTCCAACTTTCACCTTTGACGTTATGTCTTATGTTTATTATGTCTTATGTCTATTTTTTTGACTTGTATTCTAATTGTCTGCCAGTTTATTTACCTGCACCCCTACAGTTGCAATCACTTACAATCCACCATCTTCACAAAAGTATTTAGATGCTTTATAAAGAATTGAATGAAAATGACAAATAAGAAAGTATCAAGTCATTTTAACAACTTCAAGCAACACGATTTTGAATTTCAATGAAAAACATTTAATTCTCCGGACTGATGTTTGCTAAGCCAGTTCGACTTTCCCCATGTAGCATTTGTGGCTAAATCTAATGAGTGTATCAAATGTGTGCTATTGAAACTGGCTCAGAGAAGTCAACAGCTGTAGTTAATTGTAATCACTCATGACAATTTAAGAAGCCATGCAACAAGGAAAATTGGATTACCACAATTTTATACATCAACAGAACTAATATTTTAAGTTTCTGTATGTATATTTTTAAACCAGCAGATTTTATCTTAGTTCCAGAAGACCTATAATAAATCTATGAAAGAACCAAAATGCGTGACACTTATGTTTCAATGACTCCATCATATGGATCATAAAATGAAGAGTTCAAGGGGTCATTGAAAACTCAAGACTGAAAAAAATCATATGCTGTTTATGTAAATTAACTATGACAACCTCTGTCAGTTTTCACAGAAGAGTTGTAGGAAACGCTATCAAATAGTTTAACAGCTCTTATATTTAATTGGATCGTGACCTCTATTTGGCCATTTCCTTTGAACTAGACACTTCCTTTGAACTGAAAAAGACTGTGATAACAATGTTATAACAATGCTGATTGTGTACCTTCACCAAATCCACTCTTGTGCCTGATCTATCACTTTGACGGACTAATTCCTTTTCAGCCATTGACTCCTCTAAAATTCCTCCATAAATGGAGGACTTTGGCGTCACCGTGTCAAGTCTGCTTCTACACAGTTTTTACATGACATACTTTTTATCTGAAGTGTTTCATTACTCCTGCCGTTAACTACTAATTGATGTCTAACAGCCTTGTAGTGTTTGGGGTAATTCTTGTGTGTGCTGTCTGTGCTGTCCCTAGGCATGTGATGACCTTAGCAAATGGACTCTTCTTTTCGGGTCCTCTCTGGTTTGTGGCCCACGAATAGAGAATATTTCATTCATCATAGAAGCGACAGGAAACAGAGTGGGCTACCCTTCTCCTCACACATCGAATAAGAAAGTAGGCACTACACATTTCTTATCACGTGATATTTATAGAGCAGTCATTTTAACATGGCAAAACTGGGTATTAACCGACAAATTTTGTTTGATTTTTTTGAGCATGCAAATGTATTATTTCATAAGATCAAGTTTTTTTTCAGTCACATTTGTACTTTTTTTTATTTTTTTTTTTTTTATCTCTGTTCATCAGTTTTCTAAATGCAAGTGTGACAAATATGACTCAAGACTGACCTACCAACACCTGGACACAAGTAAATGAGAAAAGAGAGAACTTGTAAATGACTGGGAATACAGTGCCAGCTGTGTTTGGACACACCTACTTATTCAAGTTTTTTTTGGTTGTAGTTTGTTTTTTCATTTTTGCAGTGCAGTGTAGAATAAACCAGAGACATCCCAAATATGAAATGTTTTGCACGTGGTATATTCCTCAGATAGCCACTGTTTGCCTTGATGACTGTTTTGCACACTATTAGCAGCATATTAACCAGCTCCATGAGGTTGTCACCTAGAATGTTTTTTATTGACAGGTAAGGCTTGTCAAAATTTAGCTGGTGGAACTTCGTCTTCTAATAGCTACTGCAGTAATTCATATTATGGCAAGAACTGTTCAATAAAGTAAAGAAATACAGCAGTCTATTATGACTTTAAACATGCAGGTCAGTCAAACCAAATAAACAGCATAACTTTCACAGTTCTTCAAGTTCATTGGCAACAACCATCAAATGCTGTGATATAAGAGGAAGTTCAAGAGATTTCTCTACTGCAGAGTAGAGGTTCATTTGAGTTAGCAGCCTCAGAAATGAACTATTAACAGAGACCATTTCATTGCTTCCCGTAGGTCAAGTAGCCGACACATCTCAACATCAACTGTTGGGAGGATAATATGTGGTAATATAAGGCCTGTCAGTGACAGTGTTGGTCATTTAGTTTATCACTTATCCAGCATGGCTACCACAGCATTCTGCCCCAACGCACCATCTCAGCTGGTTTGGACTCAGTGGAAGCTGTCACTACCTGTTGTGACCTGTTGTTGTGCTTGCACCTGCACCTAGCTTTTCAAACCTATGCTAAGGAACTGTTACTCTGAGTTGTTTGCTCTGTTTAAATGGGTGCTGGCCTGCACTGTATCTTTCATTTCTCATACTTATTCATGGTGGTCAAAAGAGGGCTACAGATATCTGGGTGTTTAGTTCAACAGACTGAACTGGAAATATAATACAGAGACTGTCAACCAAGCAGACTACTTAGTACATCAACTTTGTGTACATATACCCAGTTTGTTGGGTGCTTTTGGAAGATATTTGTGTTTTTGTGACTTGTGTGAGGAATTGGTAGAACACTACCAAGATTGAGGTTAATATTTTTGGTTTTCCCAATGTTCGTCAAGTTGTCCTGCGCTAAGATCAGCAGTGAACTTAGTTCACTTGCAGCATATTTCACCAGATTTGTAGAAGGGGATCTAGTACAGATGGCAGACATGATGTGCCTTAAACGGTGTATGCTCAGCAATGTACAGCTCACATCAGCTACTGACAGAGCTATTGTTTGTTTTTCAACTGGACAAGGAGCCAGCACATATCTCCAGGCTCTGTAAGGGCTGTATGAGCAAGGACAGCGATGGAGTGGTCCTTCAGTTAAACTACATTACAGATGCTGACCTCATGAAGCTGAGAGAATGGCAATGAGTGCACAAAGCTGTTATCAAAGTTAAAGGTTCTAAAAATGTGTAAATTTGCCAAATTTTTTTTCCCTTTCCACATAAACCCTAATGTATTATTCAAATGTTAATGTCTTCAGTGTAGAAAATAGTAAAGAATACAAAGGCCTTGAATAAGTAGCTGTGCCGAAACTTTAGACTGGCACTGTTGATTTAACGCATTAGTTGTGACTAATAATCCTACGACAGCATTTTACTGTTTTTCCTGCTTTTTACATTTGAAATTGTCATTGATTTCCAAAAGTCTGTTTAACACCTTCAATACATGTAGTAAAATATAAAGTCTTGTGTGTATTAACTTATTAACACACTGTCGAACTTTCAACTTTAGTTGTACATACTAATACATAGATATAAGCACAGCACAGCTACATACATTTATTACAACAGCATTCTTTTTTAATGAAAGTTGTCATATTCAGTTTTTGTTGAGACTTTATTAGATGTTGGTACAGTCGTGACTCAATAATCCGACCCTTAACAATCTGAAAACCTTGCTGTCCAACAGATTTTTCAGAAAAACAAACAGAACCCATTAGAAACAGCCTTAACATACCGACAGCCTTGGATTCCGACGTAAAAAAAGGTTTTACATTTAGTGTCGGATGATCGAGTCCCGACTGTATTTGCTCTTTGTATTTCATTACTTAAAGTACAGCTCTTCTTTAATTGTCATTGTTTCAATAGCTGATACTAATTTTGGATGTATGTAGTATGTGTACCCTGAACTTTTCATGTGATGTGTATTAGTACAGACTGCCAGCTAACCAGTGGTGTGTGTTGTGTGCAGGTCCTGAAGTGGTCTGACTACTGCCTACCTCTGGCTCGTAGCCCTGGCCAGCCATTCAGGGCAGTGGCTCAGGCCAGTGTAGATAACTTCAGTCGGCTTGGTGTAGCTTTTATTGAAGATCGCCTTCAGCTGGACAATGGACTCATGCCTTCAAAGATAGTCCGTATGTTTGCTTGAATTACATTGCACTTGTTCTATTTTTAGTACCACTTTAGAACATCTCACTTGGTTATTATTGTATTTGTTGCGTTGTATATTTCACCTAATGCTTAGCAAAATGTTCTAGTTTGTAGTAGTTCATTTCATATAATAATCCATTCACCAAAATATACATTCCTTTTCTGTCAATGATTTTCTATATTTCATTTACAAGACCCCAACAACAACAACCAGCCATACAATCACCCAGATTAACAGATGGAAAAAGACAAGAGGACAACACAAACATCATCCTCCATATTTTACAATAACAATGAAATGTGTGTGTGTTAGTGAATTTCCAGACAGAACGACATTAAATTTACAAGTCCCTATATGCTGCTTGCACCTTGGACATACACCATACACCAGACCAGACATCGTCATAGTTGCTCTTTTGGTCTACAGTTGTATTGACCAATGATAACACTGAAGGTCTGGTACTGCAAGATTTGTAGTTACTATTTGTAGTTTGTACATTTCCAAGAACAAAACGATTATCACACCCTTTGCAATTCTTCTAAGCTCAAAGGTGCTCGTTGGCCTCTTTTATGTAGTTTATGGAGGATTCAGCTTTATTTTCAGTACCAGGGGCAGTAGGATATTTTCCGCAAAATATCTTATGGACAAACTGCAAAGAGCCTGCAGAGCACTAAACAGCAAACAGACAGTTACCTGGTGAACAGTGCAAGGTTTTTAACATCAGAAACCAGATACTTTTCTCAGTTGGTGGAAACCCAACCTGTTGTATAAGGAGACTGAGTTTTTGGTTTACATTTATCACGACTCTAAATGGTGCTAATTCTCTAAATGTGGTTGGTATGTAAATAGACAAGTGCTCTCTGTTGCCAGTGCTCCCAGTTGGCCAAAAGCATGACCTGATTCAGCTTGATTTATTTTCTTATGTAATTTACTGTTAGAAGTAGTATTGAGTCCTAGCTAACAGAAAAAGTGGTAATATATATGTGTGTGTGTGTTCATTTTTACAAAAAACAATGAAAATGTCACCAGATTGTACTGACACATTTGTATTTTTTGCAACCTTCACACAGCTGTCCTGCTTCATGAATCCACTCTCAGTGAGCTGCTGGAGAAGCAGTGTCCACAGAGGCCAAAGACTTTGACGTCACTATTTCTCGGCAGCAGCCAAAATGAAAAGGTTTTCCCTGGGCTATTACCGCACCACCTGCCAGCTGACCACCAGCACGTGCAGTGCCGTAAAGGAAGCCTTCTCCTCATCCCGGAAGTAAAGAGGAGTCTAGAGGAGCGACGGGGATCAGAGCCACTTCTCAATACGAAGGATCTTGGACCTGTTAGTGACTTGGGGGAACATTGCTCGGAGAATCATCACCACATGGAGGGCCATGGTCACCACCTTCATCTGTCCAGCTGCCATGAATGTTTGGAACTGGAGAACAGCACCATTCTTTCTGTCAAATATGCCTCTGTTGAGAACATTCCAGACCTCCCTGATGATAAATCAGTAGGACTGGATAGTGGGGATGAGTGTCTGGAGGAACTTGAACATGATGCTCAAGTGTCTTCTGGCCAAAGCGGTGGACTTGACTGTAATAGCAAACCGCCAAATGTTCTTGTGTACACAGGTGGTTGCCAGGAGCGTTATCAGGTAGTTCATCAGCTTTTATCAGAGTGTATAAACATGGAAAACAACATAATATATCCCCTCCAGCCTCAACAGGCATTGAATGACCCTTGGCTGGAAAACACCAGGCTCCTGGTACTGGCTGAAGAGGAAACCCTAAGCCCCCAGCTTCAGACGCGCTTTCTCACCTACCTAAGCCAGGGTGGCAAGGTCCTAGGACTAGCTTCCACCCTGTGCCCTGCAGGCCTCTGTCTGGAAGTTAGGGAGAGGCAACATATGCAGGTCAGCAGACTGAGCTTCACCAGAGAAGACAGCACAGAGTTGGAACTGAGCATGCTGGCGAGTGGGAAGGTTTATATCAGGGATACTCAGGGAGGGGGGGAAGTGGAGCTCTGGGGGGAGCTGAAAGGAAACGTCCCACATCAGAGGGATATGGTTATCGTCAGGGTAACCCATGGGGATGACGGAGAAGCTGTCCTTTGTCAGGTATGACATTATTCAAAGTATGGGTTATAGCACTTTATAGAGCTTAATACAAGTACATGTCAAAAAATTTGAATGTTGTGAAAAATGTTTAATATTTTATTTAAGAAATTGTAAAATTGTATATTTTGTGGAATCATTACATGTAAAGTAAAATATTTCAAGCATTTTTCTATTTTGATTTTGATAATTATGGCCCACAGCTCAAAATATATTAAATAATATCTCAAAATACAGTATTTAATTCTGAGTTTGAGTAAATGACTATTCAAGCAATATAAATACTGTGTGTCTCTCAGTCTAGTTCAGTTCACACAACCACAGTTGCAGGGAACACTTACAGACTTGAAAGTTGTCCACAAGACGGTTATCAATACCCTTCACAAGGAGGGTAGGCCACAGAAGGTCACTGCTGGAATGGCTGGCTGTTGGCAGAGGGCTAGATCGAGTAATATTAATGGAAAGTTGCCTGGAAGGGAAAAGTGTGGTAGGAAAAGATCCACTAGCAACAGGGATGATGAAGCCTTGAAAAGATTGGCAAAAAGAGCAAATTCAAGAACTTGGGAGAGCTCCACAAGGAGTGGACTGAGGCTGGTCTCAGTGCATCAAGAGCCACCAAACACAGACGTCTTCAGAACAAAGGCTGCAACTGTTGTATTCCTGATATCAAGCCACTCCTGATCCAGAGACAAAGTCAGAAGCATCCCATCTAGCCTAAGAAGAAAAAGAACTGGACTGTTGCTCAGTGGTCCAAAGTTCTCTAGTCAGATGAAAGTAAATTTAGAATTTTATTTGGAAATCAAGGTCCTACAGTCTGCAGAAACGGTGGGAAGGCGCAGAATCTAAAGTGTCTGAAGTCCAGTGTGAGGTTTCCGCTGTCTGTGATGGTTTGGGGTGTCATGTCATATACTGGCGTTACCAGTAGCACATTTTTAATATCAGCAGAGGGTGGACTTACAAGGGCCTACCACACTGAGCCATGATTTAAACAGTATCTTAATGCCACCTTAAAATTTAGGGCCAGATTATAGCTTCTGAAAGATAGTTCTTAAGGCACATCGTCAGACCACATCAGAAATTAAACCTACCTGTTATTCCAGCTAATAAAAACATCATAGGAAGGTAAGAAATGCAATTTTTGTTTAAAATCTGGGATAATAGCGCATATTTGTATACATTGTCTCTACGGAGACATTGATAGTATTGCATTGGATTGTAGACCTACACAGAAGAAGTGCCACAAACAGTTGGGTAACAAATAAATAAAATAGGTAGAAGGTAGAGATATAGAAAGAGAAGTATAATGCTCAACCATTCATGTAGTAAAGTGGGTGAGAATGGGGGAAGCTTGCAAGCCTGAGAACACCATCCCAACTGTACAGCGGTGGCAGCATCATGTTGTGGGGGTGTTTTGCTGCAGGACGGACTGGTGCACTTCACAAAGTAGATGGCATCATGAGGAAAGAACATTATATGAAAATATTATAGCAACATCTCAAGACATCAGCCAGGAAGTTAAAGCTTGGGCACAAATGGGTCTTGAGATGGACAATGACCCTAAACATACTGCCAGACTAGTTACAGAGAGGCTTCAGGACAACAAAGTCAATGTTGTGGAGTGGCCATCACAAAGCCCTGATCTCAATCCTGTAGAAAATTAGTGGGCAGAGCTGAAAAGGCGTGTGGAGCAAGGCGGCCAACAAACCTGACTCAGTTCCACCAGTTCTGTCAGGAGGAATGGGCCAGAATTCATCAAACTATTGTGACAAGCTTGTGGAAGGAAACCCAAAACGTTTGACCCAAAGTTGTACAGTTTACAGGCAACGCTACCAAATACTAAGGAAATGTATGGAAACTTCTGAAGAAAGTAATAAAAAAATTCTCTAAAAAAAATCTCTCTCATTATTCTGGCATTTAACAAATAGAAATAATTTTGGTAATCCTAACTGACCTAGAACAGGAAAAGTTTAGTCTGATTTAATGTCAGATAGTGAGAAACAAAGGGCTATGTGTCTTTTTATGCAGTGTATGCAAACTTCTGATTTCAACTGTGTATATTCTGTATATAAGAATAAGCTACTTTTATAGATGTTTCCATTTATTTTATATATTTACTCTGTTCTTTATTTATTTCTTTTTGCAGGTCCACTTTGAAATTGCAGCTGACTGTCAGAATTTGACATCAGAAGGTTTTGATAAAGTAAAGCTCAGCAACGCCCTGCGCTATGAAGTGTTGACAGAGATCCTCACTTCTCTGGGTCTCAACTGTGAACTCAACCAGACTCCAACACCGAGCCCAGTATACCTGCTGGCCACGTCTCAGGTAAGTCCTACAGTACTCATCGGACAGCACTCATCTATCATGCTGCAGGAGTAAGATAAGGTCTGAAAGACACTCTTGTCAGCTTGAATGATTGTGCCAGTCTAACGTGTTTAGATCTGTTTTTTGTGATTTTCCTAAATTCTTTTATTGTCACGTTTTGCAGACCAACACTATCTGTCTGTGTAACATGGTAGATTAGTCTCAGCAACATCTAGTATGTACACCAATCACTCCCAAGCTTAGAACCACCTGCCTAATGTGGAGATTATACAAAAAAGTAAATCCACAAAGAGCAAATGTCTATCAGAGTTATTAATTTCCATAAACCATAGATATGCATACAGGACTCATGTCATCCAAAGATAAGAGCCAAAGGTATAGTGCCACTCTTGATCTAGGGAAGGTTGTTTCTCATACTCCTGGCAGCACTGTTCCACAAGCTAGGCAATCCTAGCAGGATAGCAGATGGAGAGCAAGCAACACAAACAATTTTGGAGGCCGGTGAGGCCAGCTGCTGCTGATCTTCACATGAACGAGCATAAGGTTGTTGTTTACAAAAAACAGAAAACAACAACCTCAGTTGTAGTAAATAAATGTGCATGTAAAAAGATGAAAAATCTTCTTTTTTTTTTTTAACCACACTGCACTTTGTTGTTCTGCTTTACATAATTAACATATATAATTAGAATAACACCCAATCCATCAGTCCAATCAAAGGGCCACCCATGTGTTTAGAAATCTGAAAAGTATGGTCATATGAAGCTGACCTTCTTTGTAATGTGAAATGACAACAGCATGCCCTCTGTGGTATGCTTAGATTGCCTTGAAAGGGGGCGTTTTACAAATGAAAAGTACCAAACTATAACAACTCTGATTACTGGCATTCTGTAATCATATTTTTAAGATAGGTAAACAAGGTATTATCAAATTAAATGTGCACTTATTTGCATGATTTTTCAATGAACAAACCTCACATCTGTTTTGGGCATTGTCTGTCCACAAATACAAAAGGAGACATGTCATTGAAGCCAAAAATAACAAAAATTATTCAGTTGACCACATTGGTGTAAATACTGTAACATTATGTATAGTAAAACAGACTTTCTCTCTTTGTTTATATTCATAAACACACGTGTATAAATGTGTAAGTTCATTTGTTTTCTATCACATCATGACTGTCAACATTTTCACCTTCCATCTTCATCACAGAGTGAACCTTGTGGAATTCAACTTTCCAGTTCCAGAAGGATATAAAACTTTAACTCCCAGTCAAATAGCATGTTTTACCACTGATGAGTTGCTTTAATAGTGTTGCAGAAATTTCTGATGTTGCCCAAATACTTGCAAGCAGAGGAGTGTCCCTTTTGAGTTTTTGTTGGATGTCACTGTGCAGCGTCTGTGGCTGAATGAGTGCCTTAGCTTTCTCAACAAATGTCTTTTTACACTCTGATCGAAATAACTATATTACTAAATTTGTGTTTTGGCTCATTGCCTGTCCTTCATGTGCCGCTCTTCCTCACAACAACTGAATAAAGAAATTTAAACAAATTTAAGACACGGTTTTAGAATAGGTTTACCATCAGAGGTTACACACAGTCTAATGTTAACTTACACATGGTCACTTCACCTACAGTCGGTCACTCCTGTCATGATGTGGACATGAAAACAGCTAAGATGACTTTTACACGTACTTGTAAAGTTTACCTCGACTGATGGAGGCTTGCGTTGTTACATCCAGATCTTAAACAATACACTGGCAAAAGTGTTGAGTATAGTTTCCATTGTATTGGTATATATTGGCTGATAAGTAGCTGGAAACGTCAGACACTACATGTGTTAGGACTCCGTGTCTTTATTACATAGGTTGTCCACCAGAGAGCAGTAGCCACTTTATTTCAGCACTGTCAAATGTCACACTACCAAATTCAGCATCCTCAAAAATAATCTTGTTTATGCATCAAGTACAATGAACAGTGATAAATGGACAGAATAAGAAAAGCGTAAGATCGGCTTGCATTTGTTATGCAGTTTAAAATCTATTTTGCCCTACAAACCAGTCCATTCACATCTAGTGTTCAGATTCATCTAAAGGCAGATGAAGGAGAATGTATCTATGGAGAACAATTGCCATTTTTACTTTAATCACTTTCTACTGGTACATGAATACTGTTACTCTATTTATGAAATAAAATAGTTTGTTAAATAGTTTTACAACTACCGAGTAATATTCACAATACTACTGTAAATCACACCACTACTGCAGCCCACTGCTAGACCTGTAGGCTTGGTTCACTGCTTTAGTCTGTCCAGTAGCAGGACACTGTGGTGATGACAGCCTCCTACGCTCACTACGCTCACTCAGTTTGGTCCATGCAGCTGACTTCCATCACTGCTCTGTGGGTGTTCCTGTTCTCTGCCATGAGGTGGAAAATCATCATTTCCCTCTGTCTAGAAATGAAGTGGTACCTTGAGCTGAATAGAATAATTACTGGAAAGGATTTGCCTAAACTTTTTTATTCTTGCTCTGAGAGGATTCACTCGGGAGAAGTGCAGGAGCGTATTGTGTGTTTAAAAAGTGTTTAAAAATAAGATAGATTGCTTGACCCTGGATTGAAAAACATTACATTTCCAAATTCAGATCCAAGGAGCATCAGAAAAAAGCAAATAGACTTGACCTTTAGATTTCTTGAGGACATTTCACTTCTCATCCAAGAGGCTTCTTCACTTCTAACTAACTGATGGGGAGTTTCAGACGTCGACATTAGACATTTAGAGGTAGACATAGACATGGACTGCACATACAGTGTTACTCTGCTCTGTGAAGGCTTCAACTTCCTCAGCTTTGATTTTGACCCAGGTGTTTTCAAGTTCATGTGATCCATGTCCTTCTGCCATCATGAGTGTGACATGAGGGGCAGTGTTGTGGACTTGAAATGATACTTTCAGTGCTGGTACGAGTATCACAGCTGCAACTGCTCCTTGTGATCCAGTGTGCACACCCTGACTGACCATATAGTCCAATTTTCTGTTTACCAGCTCTTCCCAGTGGTTATTATAGTCTTTATATTCTTATTTTGCATCATGCAGAAGAGTACACATTGTGCATGCTGTGTCTCATCAGCATTTTCCAATTGGGCTTGTGTCTACGGTTTCCATGCTTTTCACTTCTGTGACAGTCTTGACTATGAAATCAACCCGAATCAGTTCACTGGTAATCACGTTTGCTGGCGGGTTGTCAGGAAAGTGTACATAGAGACCATCTTGTGTGCACATAATGTTGCTTCCTAATTAATTAATTGCTATGTTGTCTGAGTATAATTAAGGCACAACTAAAGTTTTACCTGCAGTCAGCATGAGGACCAGCTGTGTCCGGGGTCAGACTGGGCTTTCCCTGTCAGCTTCTTCTGTGCTCTTCTTCAGTTGGTTCTTCTGGCACTTTCCAATCATTTGTTCTGTGCCCTTTACTGGTTTTTACTTCACATTGCCTGTCATCTTTGTGCCGTTTTCGTTCATGTGATGGTGCATTCTGTCACTGTTTTCTGTTACTTGCTCATACTTTCTTCTGTTGTCTTCACATGCTTCACCTGCCTTTGAGTGTGTACTATTAGTCACCTTTCTCCATAAGTGAGGTTTAGGTGGTTTATGTATGTACTGTTCCTCAGAGAACACATCATCTTCTTCAAGGTCAGTCATCTCTGTACACTCGTTCAACTCACCCTTTTTCTCTCTTTTGAGTCTGGCACAGCTCGACATCTCGCACTTCATCATTTGTTTGCTTGCTGTAACTTTTCCTTGAAGCTCATCTTCCATCCCAATGTTTTCCATGTTTACCTCTTACTTCTACCACTGGAAGTTGCCCTGCTTTTGTCACTCTCTGACTGGGAGCGTATGGTGGTGGGTGGGTTAGCCATTGAGGGGCACTGGGCTGCTGTTACATTTGCTTTTTTCCTTTTCTGCTGTCTTCTTTCTGTGTTTTCTTACCTATCCATGTGGGTGTCTGCACTGTTTGTGTATGTGTGTGTCTATCCCCCTTTTGTCTAAACAACTCCAGTACCTCTCTTTCTCTGACTCACTTTCTTTCCTGTTTATTGCTTGTGTCTTTTGTAGTGTCTTATGTTTGTTTCCACTGCTATCTCCCTCATCCATCAATATATGTCATTTTCACAAGTACAGTTAGCACAACAGAGTTCAGAATTTATTAGGGCTGGACATGAACATCCAAATACCCGAATATTCAATTGTTGTGGTGGTATCTGGATATACATAACCCGCCTGCACCTCCAGCGTTATTACATAGAGGCTTGCAGTGACAACCAAACCATTCCCACAAAAAACAAAACACAAGCAACAAGCTAGCAAGGTATATAAACATTGAACAGAAATTCATTAAACCTGTTCACTCTGTATGCATGTGTGCATATATTGTGTGTTTCTGAGGTGTTTTGGGGCAAATACAATCACCTCAGTTTTGTCTGAGTTTAAATGAAGGAAATTACGGGTCATCCAGGCCTTTATGTCCTTCAGACATGTTGGGAGTCTGACCAACTGATTGGTTTCATTTAGCTTCATAGATAAATATAGCAGGGTGTCGTCTGCATAACACTCGAACTGTATGCAGTGCTTCCTAATAATATTGCCTGAGGGGAGCATGTAGAAAGTAAATAGTATTGGTCCTAACACAGAGCCCTGTGGAACTCTATAACTGACTTTGCTGCGGGTGGAAGAATCATCAACATGAACAAACTGGAATCTGTCTGATAAATATGACTTAAACCAATTTAGTGCAGTTGCTTTAAGCCCAATTAAACATTCCAGTCTCTGTAATAAGATGCTGTGATCCACTGTATCAAATGCAGCACTGAGATCCAGCAGAACGAGTATAACACCACACTTATCTCAAGTGTAATAGCATTTAGTGTCAGTATAAATTGATTGTACACAGTCTGTTTATAGTGGTAGAGAAACTGCTACAATATCTTGTATAAAATGTTTTTGAAAAATGTCTTCTCTGCTCCCATTTATTCCACACAGGAGGCTAAGACCAACTGCCTGAAGTGGCTGCAGAAACATGCAAACGTCGATGGCGTCCTTACTAAATCCAAGAGCTCTCTTCGGATGGTATCCACTTCAGAATTCCAGGATGGTTCTTTGCTTCCTGAGGGCTCACTGGCCCTGGTCACTGACTCTTCAGACTCCCAGAGCTGGCCGCAGTTCAGTATGGAGACCTACCGGAAGAACCTGAAGACCAGCCTTCTAGGCCACACCGTGCTGTTTGCTGAGATCGTCACTTCGACCATGGACCTGTTTGAAGGGTAACACATTTTCCTCTGAGCCTGTTTATTGTTTGAAATGTGTGCTTGAGCCAACAGCAGTATATTCTCACAGGCAGAATGGATGTATGACTTTGTGACCAAGAAAAGGGGCGCTTTGGTTTTGACTGCTGCACAGGCTGACCAGCTGTACCCTGACAGCACCTTTCACCACCCTGAAACACAGTCAGCTGCAGCTATTTGAATAACATAGTTCAGGTTACTTTGAATAGTTGAGCCCCCAAAGTCCAGATGACATTTTACGTCCTGCCATCTTGATATGCGATGCCGGGAAAAGTATTTGCCCCCTTCTCAAATTCTTATTTTTTTGCATATTTTTCCACTTTAATGTTTAAGATCGTCGAACAAATGTAAATATCAGACAAAGATAACCCAAGTAAACACAAAATGCAGTTTTTAAATGATGATTTCATTTATTAAGGAAAAAAAAACTATTCAAAGCTACCTGGCCCTGTGTGAAAGAGTAATTGCCCCCTGAACCTAATGACTGGTTGGGCCACCCTCAGCAGCAACAACTAAAATCAAGCATTTTCTAGAACTGGCAATGAGTCTTTCACATCTCTGTGGAGATCTTTTGGCCCACTCTTCTTTGCAGAATTGTTTTAATTCAGCAGCACTGGAGGGTTTTTGAGCATGAACGGCCTTTTAAAGGTCATGATATTCAAAATATTCAAAAAAATAAGAATCGAGAAGGGGGCAAATACTTCTTCACAGCACTGTACATTATGCGGAACATTATCTTATCAAACATCCTTACCTGTGTAGACACATTCTTGTTAACACAATAATTCTGGAACATAGCAGAAACTTTATATGTAACATCACAGGCCCCCATATGGAGTATCTAGTCTTATTACATTTTGGGCATCTTTCTTCATAAAATATTAATACAAATACACTGATTTCACAGAAACTGCTTTGACTTCTAAACACTTTAGTTGATAGATTTAAAAGGTTTACACCAGGTATTTAGCAAGCAAAAACAAACATGTTAGTGTGGGAAGTTTTTTTCTAAACAATGAGCACATTGCCTAAGTTAAAAAAATAATTTTTGTGAACACAGTAATTCATGATGAAAAATTGTGTGAACACCACAGTTAGGTAGATGGTCTGATTAGATTATGATGTACATTCATTTGTGTACGTGTGTGATTGTGCATGCGTGCGTGCGTGCACACTCTGGTGTGGGAGGATAGACGGGCTGGAACTAATTAAATGCTGAAGTGACCTCACTGCAGCGAAGGCAAGTTGCACCTAATGGACGTCTTTGTCTGCATCACACATGTGAGTAAATGTGGCCGTTGAGCAGGTCGATCAGGCAGCAGGTGGGAGCAATTAAAACTGTCATAAAGTTTGAAAAATGGATTGTAGAGCAGCACTGAGCTGATTGGAACAGACAGTGTTGTCATTAAGGTTATACAAAAACGAAAGCAGGGTGAATGAGTAGGCCATGTAACCCCAAACTGGTTGCCGCAGTTTGATTTCACTGCTAATGTTTGAGTTTCCAGATGTCTCTCTGGAGCAGCCTTGATTAATGTTATTATTAAGGAATGCCTGTTTCATTTCTTTAAGCATTTATGTTTACTAAGTATTCACAGTGAATATTTTCAGAGAAAACACACCTTTTTTTTTTTTGGTAGAATTTGCAGTTTTAAACAGTTGTAGAGAGGTGCTAGTGGGAGCTATCAGAGAGGGAGTTGCGTTGAGTTTTTGCTTGGTGATCAGTGATGCTTTGATGTATGCCAAGTAGCAGAGAATATTTTGTGTTTTTATGGGTTTTAACGGGAATTTCAGTGTATCTCCTTCCTACTACAAATGTTTTGTCCAACAATTCTCATTTAGATTGATATATTCAAGGTCAGTAGGCATACCAATCTTACACATGAAAGTCAGTCTTCTAGTCCTGAATGGTACGCAGCTGTATAAGAGTTTATTTTATTTTATTTTATTTTATTTTTTCTGAAGTACCCCTTTAAGCCAGTGTGTATTTTGTCACCTGATTTTCATTCAGACATGTGAATGATTCGTACTAAGACTGTGTCAACACCCACAGGATCCCAAGGATCTGCTGCCAACTTCCCAGTGCCAGACACCACAGGAGACCTCTGGAGCTCCTATGTCTGTGCTCCAGCAGCTTAGAGCGCTTTTAGTGACACGGGGGCAGGCACAAAATTAGGCCAGTGATTTTATTGTTGTGGCTGATCTGTGTACCTGTCAAACAGGCTGTCTCTGAGTGAGTTCTGTTGTTGTTCAACGAGAAGGAAAGAAATATATCTCATCTGAAACACAGTTAGGTAAAACTAGTGTATTGACACAAGCCTGCCAGGGACCACAGTGATTCTATGTTGTTTGTGCTGAGCTGTTGCTTTGACTTGGTAAAATACGTAAATTATTTTCTCTGTATGTAGTAACAACATTAATTAATTTGCGATTCAGCAACATGACAGCAAGAAATGTATTTTAGGCAGAGTTAAAGGTAATGTGTGTGCAATGCAACAGATGGATAGAGAGGTGGGAAGCCCTTCATTTTGATTTAAGCTAGAAGTGCAGCTCTTTGTGTTGTCTGATACAACATTCAACTGCACCGTATTTTCTTCTGAGCAAATGTAGTCACTGCTAAAATCGCAGCCATGAATGCTCGTACCCACATAAACTTAATTTGGTTGCAGTTTTGCGTTTTTTTTGTGGTTGTTCCTAATGCTGCATATTTTAACAGACCTTTTTACTTTCTTGAGAATGTTTAAGGAAATAGTCTCTCATTTGTAGAATGGGGTTATGTTGTTAATCAAAACAGCAAATTGTTGGACAGATGATGAATTTCACATGAGTCAGTTATTCAAAACCTCTCAAGTGACAATGACTGAGCTTTTCTAATATCTGCCAGATAAATAAGGCATTGAGATCTGCCCTAATAGACAGAGAGGGACTGTGTCGAAAGTTCCTGCAGGTCAGCACTGTCTGAAATTAAAGAGCTGATGAAAACAGGTTCAGCCACTTGAGTGCAGAGGCTTGAAGCTAAGGCTCAATGGCTTGCAGACCGTGTGTTTGTTCATGGTATTATTGCTTTGTTTGACTGGTAGCAGCCAATAATAGCTAGTACTGAGACACAGGACAGTATTTTCACAAGGTCACACCGATTTGGAGTGCCGGTGCTTTTTAGTGAGCAGCTTCACATCGTGCAGCCTTTAGTCACTGTAATGTTTCTGTCGTATGTTGAACACATGGCACGGGAAGTCCACGGTCCAGTCATGATGTTTCAGTTTATTCTTTGTCAGTTTCAGTGCGTGATAGAAGAAATAATTTGCCCTATTTGTTTTCTGGTGGAGATTTAATTGAAAAAATTGAAAGTGTGGCTGACTAGAAACAAAAAAAATGTTGTTATCATACTAAAGCACAGCATAATTCTTACAGTTTTGAGTAAAACAGATTAAAATACTTAGAAGCAATATTTAACATGGCAAATATCAATTCAGTTCAATTCAGTTTTATTTGTATAGCACAGTTTACAACACAGCACCTACCATATAGGTATAGACATTATCAATTTAAACAGAGAACCCAACAATCCAAAGTAGCCTTTGGACTCGCTCTGAGCAAGCGGTCGGCAACGGTGGGAGGGAACCAAAAGAAAACCTCTGACAGAACCAGGCTCAGGAAAGGCAGCCATCTGCCTGGACCGGTTGGATTGAGAGTGGGGAAGAGGGGGGGGTGGGGGTAGCAGGATAGCAAATGAAGAGCAAGTAGTAGAGCAGAACAATAAATATTTTGGGGGTCGATGAGGCCAGCAGCTGCAGATCCAATTTTTATTTTTATTACACAACATGAATCTGATACTCAATACTGCACACGTATATTACATACATTGTGTGGTTACTTTATGTAGAACAACACATTCAAATATAATCATGCCAGATAATTAAAAAGGAAGATAAAGATGGCCATAGGGATTCAAAATGATGTTGTAGTCAACCCATTCTGCTGTATATTGTATTTTTTAATGTTTACTATTGACACATCAGCAGAGATGCAGCGCAGCAAAATTACAAAACCCAGCCTTAGAATTTATGGTTCCATAGATTTCCCCTCCTGCCTAACAGTCTCAACTAGATTAATTGTTCTATCTTCATCATTAATGGCTGTTAGCTATTTTTAAATTAATTATCAGAAAATGATGATTAATCCTTGTCACAATTCTTGGTTGGCGGTTGGTGTTTAGTTAAGGACAGTTAGCGGTGTGAAAGTGTTAGAATTGGGGGGAAATGTTGGGATAAGAGCCTGTGGAGACCACTTGGCTGGTACAGAGAGCATAATGATTCTTTTCCTGCTGTGCTGAGATTGATCCCTGTGCCTGAAGCAACTCTTCCTTCATGTTGACTTTTTCTTGCAACAGCTTCAGGCTTTTTTCAGTCAAAACAGATATGCATACATGAAGCTAAGTAGCAATGGATGTAAATTTAATTCAGATTATTTTCCCTTTTACTTGTGGGTATATGATTTTTTTTCCATGATGTCTGCACATGTGGAAAGTATTTTTGCATTAACACAGTTTTTTTTAAACACCATCACTTTCTGTCATTACTACTTCTGTGACTAAGAGTCTTTATAATTTCTCATTTTGAAACAGTACATATTGAACAGCATCGTCACACACACAGAACACTTAAGTCGTCCCTTCATATTCTAAAGTCTAAATAGAAAAACAACTTTAACAAAAGGACTCTTTTACCTAAAACTGTTCCAGTTGTTGTGCAAAACCCCTTTCAATCATTGTTTGTTTTTACAAGCAATCCAATATCCAAACTGACAATGCATAGAATTAGGTGGTGTTTCCTGTGAAAAATACACACCCCAGGACAGGGGTTTGGTGCAAAGAAAATGGATTCCTCATAACTGTGGCAACAGGTTTGACCATAAAAATCAAATTGCCCCAATTGACCTTGCATGCTCCACCTGCAATTATAAAAGATTGTAAGCAGATGCCT